CCCCCCCCCCCCCCCCCCCGCAAACCCCTCCTACCCCCGTCCCCTCCCTTGCCCTACGCCGCCCCAGCACTACGGCCTGGTACTTCCTTACGGGTCGGGGTTGACAGAAGAGCTGCAAGCGGTGAGAGCCTAACTTTCGCAAAGTCAGCAGCAGCAAGCACACCGTATAAAACCTACGCCCTTTTTTTGTTGCACGTGTTTTGCCGTCACTACTTCAATGCCACATTCCTGCGTTGAAAGGGTGGTATGAATAGAAAGACGAGCAACGAGTGTATTCATTCGGGTGTATGCCCTGCGAGAACGCCGTTCTTTTTTATGCCGCTATTTGCGGATGTTTCGCGAAGCGTGCGGGCTGTCTTTTTTGCGTGGTATGGTACGAATTAGGGGCGTGCTGTTGGTGGCCACCAAACAAGAAACAACGAAGGATGAAACACAATCAGCTTTTGGGCCAGTGCACGGAGAGAACATCTCTCTGCGTGACAAGTTTTACCGTCCTCCTTTTCTTCTGCGTGAGCCATGCATTTGGTTTAGTTTTGTTGACGTGAAACCCTCGATTTTTTCTGCCTGCGAAAGGGCGGCGGTGGTAAGGGAATCATGATTTCGCTCGTGTGTGCCTGGTTCTTTGGATGACTAAACGCACTCTGGGCGCGGTTTCCAAACAAGCCGAAACAACTACATAAACGCAGGCGACGCTGCAGCTGAGGGAGGACGGCACCCTGAGCGACATCGAGGAAACCTACCTCGACCCCTCCGCCGTGTGCGTCCCCGTCACCACCAGCGAGGAAGAGTCGTCCAACATGACAGTCTCGGTAAGAAATGCTCGTCGAGCATGACAGTCTCGGTAAGAAGTGCTCGTCCAACATGACAAGTCTCGGTAAGAAGTGCTCGTCCAACATGACAGTCTCGGTATGAAACTGCAACGTTTTTCTCTTGTTGGCAGGTTGGCGTTGCTTGTTTTTTGGTATTGTGTTCCTACAGTAGCATGTGGCGGACAAGGCGGCAATCACATGATCTTCGCGGGAGTTCCACGAGGCAATTCTACCGCTCGCATTTCGAGGGGGTATTACATGTAATACCCCCTTGAAATTCGAGCGGTAGAATGGCCTCGTGGAACTTCCGCGAAGATCTGTGATTGCTGCCTGTCCGCCACATGTACGTCTCGCATGGTATCAGCAGGTGTACCAGCGTCCCAAAGGATCGTCCTACACTGTGAAATACAACGCTTTCTCCTCTTGGCAGATAGCGATAGCTGTATGTGCGTGTTTTTCTGGTAGCCGTGTTCTTACAGTCTGCAGGTGAACCAGCGTCCGAAAGGATCGTGCTACACTATCCTACTGCCGTACGTTTGTGTGCTCTTGTTTTTGCCCGTACGGATAACATGGAATGGAAGAGTAGAAATTCTGAAGTGAAGTATAATTGCTGTAGGTGCTGTTGGGTGACGTGAACCAACGGCGATCAGGCTGTCATGGGTGAATGATTAAGGGAGGAGCGAGAGCGGCTGGAGTATTTAAAACCTCCGCCTGCGTGACCGTCGTCGCGGTACCAACCAAAATCGTTCTTTTGTTGTCTGTTGCTGCAACAGCTTTCATTTCAAGCGCATTTCAAAGGAACGTTGTCAGAACCTGGTTGCATTATTTTTTTGGAGCATGCATGTGTAGTCGATTCAACATTGTGGCGATCCGAAACAACACACACGCCAACGAAACAGCGATTTAGTCTAAAAGCATACCGCACGCTTCACACGCCACGTGTTGTCATGGCTTGTTTTCGTCTTGTCCGCTACCGCCGCCGCTGCCGCTCCTGCTGCCGCTTTGTTTTGTTCTTCCCTTGTTTATCCCTCTGACGGCCTGTCCTTCTCTGTATCTGTTGTCTGTTTGTCTCTGTCTGTCTTGTGCGTGTGTCTCTCTCTCTGTGTCTCTCTCTGTCTCTCTGTCCGTATGTGTGTGTCTCTCTCTCTGTCTAATTCTCTCCCTCTCTATGTCAATTTCTCTCTCTCTCTCTCTCTCTCTCTCTCTTGCCGTGTTCGCACCCACCGCCTCACAAAAAAACACACGGACGGTGTAACGGGAAAACGAAACGCAACATAACAGGACGTCTCCGGAGTCTTCTTCGTGCTGGGGTTTTTCGTCATCGCGGCCACGGTCTCCTGGTGCTTCCGCCGGTCCCCCTGGGCGAAGAGGGCGAAGGAGCGGCGGCGGCTCGAGAAAGGCGGCGCCGCCGAGCAGTCCGTCATGGACAGCTATGCGAAGATGTCGAGGGGGCAGCAGAAGGCCTTCGCCATGCAGGCCACCGTCAACCTCTTGCAGCATTCGAGGGTGCGTGCGTGTACGTTCGCGGTGTGGGGGGGGGGGGGGGGGGGGACACATGGTTTTTATGGCCTAAACGGGTAAAACCCTTAACGTTTGGGGGGGGGGGG